ACTTGAAAAGAAAAAAGCAAGACTCTCTAGAGCAGTATTTGCTACCAGTAAGGCTTTTGGGTAAGGACGATTTGACATCACCCCTGAGCAAAACTGTGGACAAGGAGAGTACAACTGATGTTCACTAGGACAGCTATAGTAAAAAGGGAAGCAAACATGGCTCTATTTTTTTGATAATATTTCAAGTTTGGCTGAGTTCATTGTTAAAGGAGATTTTTATAAAGGGTTCATCACATGGTGTTGTATTAAAAAGGACAGTAAAACATTTATACAGCTTCTGTTAAATGCCTTAATTTGCTACCCAAGATGAGGTCAGTTGGGAGATGTGTTTTTAAGGGGGATACAGATTATTTGATTTTAGGCACAGTGTTATCTACTCTTTTTCTGAGGTATGAATGGTCTTGTGGGACACATGCTGATCAACTCCTCTGTTCCAGAGGACACTATGCCAAACCCTCTACAAACCTTTATGAGTTTGTGATAGAAACTGGACCGACCTGAAACTTCCTATGCTGGATTCCAGCTTGGGCTGTCATGACAATTCTGAGTGAATGCTAAGGTCAAGATATAGTGCACCATCATATTATCTGGTGCAAAAACACCAACAAAGGATGATGTTATGAACAGCTGGAATAGTGTATACACAATCATGGAGGAATGGTAGCTGGAGTCAACTACAAAATTCAGAATTGAAAATTAAGTAAGCATTTTTCACAGGGAGACGAGTGAATCACTAGAAAAAAAAATACTAAGAGAAAAATTTCATTCTTCATTTCAGTGATGACTGCCTTCTGGAGAGTACACCTTAAGCAAATAAAATTTATGATTTAAATGAATGCAAATTATTTTAATCACTAGGAGACTCAAATTAATGTAATAGTGACATAGGGAGTATCAATGCCATTAATACTTTTAGTCATAAATGCCGAGTTTTCTTGAAGATGTTACACATTAGGCAAACAGGCTCTGAGAGTCAGACAAAAGGCAGAAGACATTATATACAAAATATTAACAGCTTTTGTACAGAACAAGTGAAGTGGAATATAAAGGCTAGTTTAAATAAAGTTCAGTGCATTATTCTTTGTCACAACGCAATATTATTTATTTTCACCAAACAATGGAATAACAACCCAAACACTCTAAATGCCCCTGATGTTAATTTTTTGTTTTCTAGGATTGCATGCTCAATTTACAATTAGTAAGACTTAAAAAGTTTTAATATTAACTAGAGCTGTTATATATTTAATGTCTGTGAGTAAACATCTATGGATGAGTCAGGCAATTTAAGTTTATCTTTTCAGGTGATTTTTGGAACATGTTGGGTCTAATTCAAAAATTCTACACAGCTTCCTTAATTTCTCTTTGAAGCCTTAGGAGAAAGACTTGTTCCTAATAAGCCTACTGAAATAAACAAATGTTGAATGAATAAAGAGATTCTTGTTTGAGGTTTATAAATGTCTAGCATATCATTGAGACAAACTACTAATTACATTTTAATGATGCCTAAGTAGTCAATTGAAAATGAAAGAAATTTTACATCTAAATAGTATCTTTTAAGCAAGAAGCAGGAAAACTTTAAAATTTAGGATAATGATACTATAATCATCAGAGAGAATTGTCTCCAGAAATATCATATTCTCTCAGGAAATTTTCCAGAGTGAAATATCATATTCACTAATCTATTCTATGCATGTAAATTGCACTAAAATACTATAACACGCTGCAGTGCATTTGTAACTCCACAAGGCCAGAGCAGGGTCAATGCACGTGCTTGCTACTCAGGTAGCAGGTGGCTGTGACATGTGGTGGACCATTAGTACCTGCTGGCTGCAGCAGCTGATGATTCAAATCATCCTGCTTCTTCATCCCTGGGGTAGGGGCATTGTTGCTGAATTATTGATGAAGTTGAATGCATTCAAAAGTGCAAAATTATAAATTTAGCATTTTAAGGTATTTTTCACCGAAGAGATTAATTTAACTGAAAGAAACATCATGGATAACATTTTAACAGGAATTTGTTCTTTTATCATAACTTCTATACAATTTTAATTTATTAACTCAAAGCTACTCTGGCGAGGCTAATGAGTATTGAGAGAATGTGTTGATCACAGTGATGAATCAGTCTCTGGTTTCATGTCAAGAGGAGAATCCTTGCTTTCCTGAACCAAAACTATCACTGAACTGAAAGAGAAGTTCGCTGAGCTGTTAACAGGGCTAAAAGCCATCTCACTTGACTTATGTAAGAGAGAAACACAAGTTCAGTATGTGGTATTATTCCTGCTTTATAGAAAAGTGAATTGGCTCTGGGATCACTGTTTCGTTTGTTTGTTTCCCTAAGGAAATGACAAAGCCAGAATAAAGAAAGCACTCTCAGACCTAAAACATAATACAAAGGGTACTTCCCTGCTTTAGCCTATCCTTTAACTTTATATATCCTATAACTTTTTTATCCTTTAATTATCCTTTTGGTGGGCCTGGTTCTCTTAGGTTTTTATGTCCTAATCTAAACTAGTCACAGAAATCCTTACAAGGTGAAGTTATCTGCTCTCTGTTCCAGCGACTGGGCTTGTCTCTGCAGGGTTTGTAGGGCAGATTTTTTTAGCAGTAAAAAGGAGTCATATGCTTGTACTTAAATTTTAGTGCTACATCATGAGATAGCAAATGATTCTCAGACTTCTCTTAATACCTCTTATAAAGACCTTATACACATTACTATCATCCTTAATGTTACACAGCATACTATCTCATTTGCATTACCCAGATCAGTAATCTTGCAGCTCCTGTATGTATTTGAAGGCTCTACTTCCAGAGGCAGTTACGTGTTAAGCATTGGCAAGAAAGAACCCGACCTACTGAGACAAACTTTTCATTTAAATTCCTTTCTAGACTATTTCAACTTAACACTTTTCAGAGTAAGACATGCAAATACATGACTGCATTTTTTACAAGGAAATGTTAGCTCTCTTGCACCCTATTGATAGCTTGGCACCCTAATGACCGTCACAATTCAGTAGAATCTCATGTATATCTCTAAGACAAAATATAACATTTTCTCCATATTACAGTTCCTCTACAACTATATAATACATACATAAACCATGTATGCTAACCTTTGTCTGGTAGTAAATTAATAGGAATCTTAAAAGCAGTTGTAATGATTCCAAAGTAAGAAGCTATGAAGACAAACAAATACAAAGGAACAGGGAAAAAAAATTAAAAATCATGACATAGGTATATAACATAAACTTAGGATAAATAGTATACAGATCAGACTACACGAATAGTCATGGGCACAAAGGAAAGATTCCTTTCCTTCCAGCAGAGAACATATTGATTATATCTAATCCATAACGACTCAAGGACAGACAGATACAGGAGAAAAAAAGGAAAGACTTAAAAAGCAGAAAGCATAGAGAAGTCTAATTGTGTGTGATTAGACAGAAGTCTAATAACAGATTACCTGTACACCCACTATTTCCAGATCCAAAACTTAGCAGGCACTCTCTTATATGAAGTAGTCATGTAATATATGCAGTACTATGTATCAAGTCTTACATTATTTTATCCAGTTTAAAGAACTAGATGTGAGAAAGTGAACAAAGTGCTCACTTCAAAGTTATTTCAATACTGTCGTACCTTCAGTCCACAGACCTGGAAGATAAATAGGTGCTGCAAAAAATAGGCTGATGAAAATTCAATTATATTCTTTACAAATGGTAGTGAAAATCTTAAAGATACTTTCTAGATTTAGTAAAAAAGCATAGTAATATACTCTTTACATCGATATATTTATAAATTACTCGAGTGATAAAAAATGGATAGATAAGAAATGCAGAGACAAGAATAATCAACTGCAGTATCCCTGTGAACGTTATTGTGAGTTTCTTAATTGAATTGAAAATGTTTCTTCTCTCTCACCTAGCACAATGACTGCTTCTCTATCTTTAACTGTTAAATTGAGGCTGATTTAAATGGAATACTTACATTTGTACATTACATAGATGAGCACATTTAAAGTTTTATTTAATTATGAGCTTGATATGAAAGCAGTGATTAAAAATATTCTACATATAAATTTAAAGACAAGCTGAAAAATTATCCCTAGATTCTTTGGATTAGAATTGCATATTCTCTTGCAACTTTGCAAAGGAATATTAAAAGACTGAAAGAAACGTGAAAACCCTGCAAATTTTAAAAATTAGGCTTTCAAAATCCAAATAATAGCACTAAAGTTAATGGTTATGGATGAAAAATAAACCTGTTTGTTTACAGAATGAATTTGCAAAGTCATTTTTAAATACCTTCTTTTTTCTCTGACATCCTCTAATTACACTGGAACTGTGATGCTCCAAAGAGGTTTCTTTTGTGTTTGTAGCTTTATTTTAATAGTTCTCCTTAGCTTCTGCCAGCAGCTATGAGTCAGTGTATTGGTTTTACAAGGAATTGCACCAAAGACAGCATTAAATTATTATATAATTTACACGAACAAAAAAGCTAGATTGCCATTTGCTGACAGACAAAAAGAAAGTGAAGCTGCTAGGGTTTATGGGGAATTTTTGACTTCTATAGACAGAAATAATCATGTGTTCAATAGACAATGCAAAAAAAAAATCTTTTTTTCCCTTCTGAAAAATCTATGTAGTGAGTCATTAAGTGCCTACATATTTTTTAAGAATTGCACAGAAGGCAAAAGGCACAGAAAGCAAAAAAGACAGAATTAATGACAATGTGAAACAGAAAATGTCTCTTTCTCATAAACCTATGTTCTTTCACAAATGAAACAATATTGTACAATTGACAGACTCATTTTTTTCCCCTATATTTTATATGCAGCTTTAAAAACTTTTACACTGGAAAAAAAAAACAAAAAACCATGCTAAGTGGTAAACTGCCATAATAGACAGTCTTGCTTCTCATTACATGCCTGTGTAAAACCAACAAAAAACCTGACATTTGAATCAAGTTTGAGCCAGTGCAAGTCAAATGAAAAAGATACTCACTTTTTCTTTAGTCTTCGGTCCTTTTCTGCTTGGGTTCCAAGTTTGCCTAATCCAAGAGACTCCTGAGCAGCTGCCTCTGTTTCCATGTAACCTCCTGGAAAACAAACCAAACCTCACTGTATTTTCCCATAGCTCTCTCACAGCTGTTCCCCTCCTCCCTTCCCACTCACCACCATCATCTGTGTTTGTTTCCTTAAGCCGTGACACCTGCTGTTTGTGGAGAACACCTATCACCTACAGAAGTAAATTCTGGCAAGCATTTACTACATGGAAAAGTGTAGAAGTAGAAGATAAAGTTGTTTTCTCCTCCTTGGGTTTAGCAGAAATATATGAAAAGAGCACCCTGATGTCTTTTGCCTCTTTTCCTTTGCCTCCTAAGGCTAAGTCTCATGGTCCTAAGTAACCAATGCCCCCACCAATTTTTAATCTTAATCAGGAAATGTCAAAATGAAAGTGCCCTCTCAAGAACTGTCTCATTATTATTGACGTAATGCAACATCACTTAATGTCGTAATACTAAAGTTTTCACTTTGCTCTCATAGTCTTTGATGTCATTATCCTTGCAAACTCCCAAGCCAGAGGTAACACAAAACCTCCTAGGTCTCCCTGGAGGTGCCTTGTAGACGCCTAATTCCTGTCAAAGTCAAGGGAACTTGAATAACTTGCCCAGAGCGACAAGAGAAGCTTGCAGTAAGCCACGACATCTGGACCAAATTAAAATTGTATAATAAAATGAGGACATGACTGGTATTGTATGATCCATGCTGATCATACAATACATCTTCTAACATGACTTTCCTGGTGCAGAAGCGGAAAGATGCTCTGACTTTTTTATTGCTGCCTGGATTCAAGGAAGAAGAGACCTGCTCATGGACCTGTCAGTACAATCTCCTGGCTGTGGCTCCAGGTTGTCCTCTCATTTGCACAGGTATGTGAGCAGACAAAGGTGCTGCAGCACTTTTTTGGTCTGCTTTCCTCCTGTGCTGCTATTCAGGTATGTAACTGGCACAAGAAGGAAGACAACAGTACAGTAAATGACTCCATTTGGTGATGACAATTTATTTCTCAGCTAATGGATACTGAACAATTGTAGATACTGGCACAATTAAGAAAGCACAGTATAAATTAAAAGTTTTCTATTCTGATTCATTGATTTTAACCATAAAATAGTGTGTAAAGGTTATATAGTGAAATAGCATCACAGCCTTTTATAAGTCACATTTACATGCACCTCTATCAAGTGTTTACGACAACTTAGAAAAGCCTAGTTTTAAGTTGTCCTTTCAAACCAGGTGTAGTTTTAACACTCCTGCTTGTCTAGACAGTTTTCTTTATTAAAGAGGACACTACTTCTGCAAGTCTCATGATGAGAATGATGCCTCCAATCACAAATGCAGAAAACATGAACCTATACTTTGCTTTACTTCACCTGCCTCTCATAGTTTTACAGAATGTCTCATGAAATGTTTCTGGCTGACTCTGCAGTAAGTTTTCAATTTAGCAAACTGCTGTATCTATATAGCACACCTTTCTGAGAAAGCAGCTTGCAGTATGTTAACTAGAGATGGTATGAGTGCAGTGCAGTGAGGGTTTATCACAGATTGGAAAGTATTCTTGGCATAATGAACTTTACCATAAGACAAACAATAATCTTTTGCTCCTACTTTTTGTCAGTTAACAGTCCTACTTTTAATTTTATACATGCTTGTAAACCTAATTTGTTTAATTAAAGTGTTCATTGTACTGAAATCTTTGCTGTTGAGCTAAAAGATGAAAGCAAAAAAATTTCATTTAATTGCAAATCTTCATATCTTTTTGCAATTTCATAAACTCGCATTGGGAATTACAAATAGGCTTTATCAAATTATACATATGTCTTACTAATCATGCTGGGTGATATTAAGAAATTAATCTATTGCCAGATTACATTGCTCCTGAGACAATCTTTAAAGTTGTTACTTAGGTTTTGTTCCACCTTGCAATGAAACTGCAGGGAAGATCAACATATTTACTACATCTTTCTCCTCTATGTTCCCAAGTTATTGTGAAATCATAGATTATTATGCATAATCCATCAATATCAATAAAATTTGCTTTATGGAATGTGAATATAAATTAATAACGCAGTCTAAAGTTATAAAATTCTCCATCAGTGCAGACAGTGACATGCAGGTGTATTTGAGAGACTCATTTAATAGATTCTGAAATACGTTAAAGTATGAAAAAGATTGAATATATAAGTTTTATTCTTCCCATAGTGAGAAAAAAGGATATTTAAATTGCGACTAGAAATTAGTTATTTTTTTCAAGAAAAAGTTCTCAAAGGCAGAGAGAAGAAAGGTTGGAGTATAAATGGAGAATGGTCAGTTATTTGATTTTATTCTGATACTTTGACCTTAGTATTACTTTACTTTATGCTATATGATTTTAGTGATGAGTTTGTTAGTTGTGATAAGAACATGTTTTAATATGATTTTTTTTTTAATTTCAGGCTTCCATACTGCTTAAGCATTTACAGTTACTGCAAACTGTTAAAATTCTTTTACAGGTGTTATGTGGTCACCATGGCAGTAAAAATTTAGTGCCTCACAAATTCATATTATGTGACATCTCTGTGACTAGGAAAGAGCTAAGATTTCTATTTTGCTGACACATCCATACCAATTTGATTCTTGTGTTAGCATGTGTATATATGCTAATCTTAATCTAGCTAAATCAGATAGCCTAGCTATATAGACCACACCTGAGGATGTATTTACCCATCTGGGCATGCAGACTATGAGCCTTCGCTCATATTTGAAGACTGTCACTTCACCTTCCATTGCTTATGCTACCTAAGGTAGTTAAATACAGTTATGCTATGACTGGTTTTTTTTGCATGTAGTATAGACATATCCTATGGAATACCACAGAGGAAAATTTTTACTAGGAATGAATTACACTAAGGTCTTGGCAAGGGAAAAGGGCTGAAGAAGTAGGAACTAAACAAAGCATTGCCGTCAGCAGCATAACTAATTGAAAGAGCATGATGATGACATTCAGTGATAGACACTAGCAGACATCTGTTGACATGCTGAAATCTGAAAAGCAACTATATTTACTTGCAAGGACCTTCCATATCAGTTATACCCCTTACAGTGGTTTATTACTTACTACTTTTTCATTTCCTCTTTATTTTTATTATTTGAGAATACATTGTTAACACTTTTACCCTAATTCAAGAGATTATTGAAGCAGTAGGTTCAGTGAAGAGGATGACTCTAGTGATTTGTGCCAGTCTCCTTTCATTTGTGTTATAGCAAACTCCTGACAAATATAATGGAGTTTAATGGGAAGGTTCTGCCAGACAAAAGAGAAAAATAAACAAACTGGAAACTGAAAAGAAGCAAAATTAAAAATGGAAAAATGACTGTGAAATGGTGACCTTGGCTTGTTACCACTAATTCCTTACTGAGCTGTCCAAGTCGTGCCTTCTCTTTTTTACCGAACAAACGTCCTATTGAAGACTTGATTCCTTTCTTCTTGGGAGCTTTGTGTAGGGAGTCCTGGCTGCTATTGACACTGCCAAGACCAATGCTTTCTGGCTCCAATGAAACAGGCAAGCTACTACAAAATGATAATAAAGAAATGGAATAGATAATAAGTCAAAATTTGCAGGTAAGTTTTTACTTTCTTCTGAGCAGCTCTGCAAACTAATTAATTGGTCATACTCTACTAATGATCTCAAAACAAGTGAAAAAATCACATCTTCTTCTTTAAATGACTTAGCAACATGTAGAGCGATAGAAGATCACATTTCCTCCACCAGGCTGACTGGATCTTATTAAAAAAAAAAAAAAAAAGGCTGCAAATAAATAAATATTTTTAATTTGCTAAGAGCAATTGATGAAAAAGACAGGAAACAGCCTCCTGTTTATCTTTCTAGGATTTGCAATATCCCTACTTTCAGTAGTGATCAAAACAGAAATAACCAGGATGTATTTTAGCACTAACAAACATTCTCATGGACATGCAAAAGACAAAGGGTAAGGCTTTCTCTCCCTCAGGGCAGGGGAAACAATTGCCAAGAAGAAACAGGAAGAAATCATGTCATTTTGGAATAGTTAAGCAACAACATGATTTGCAAAGAATAATATGTGGTAAAACTGTGAAGTACCCATTCATGTTACCTTCTAGCATCATTATGGTAGGAAGAAGGAAGGGTATGAGTCATTCTGATAGCTCTTGGTGTTGGAGGAGGAGAAGTTTCACATTTGATCGTGGCTTTGTCTTCACGCCCATCTTCTTCAACTACTGCAATCTGGGGGAGAGAGACTCTATTGAGAGCAGGCTAGCTTTTCAAGAAAGTTTCAACACATACTGCATGAATTTGAAAAGTGAACTGAAGCATGTATAGATTCAAGTGCAATTTTTTGAGTAAATTTTTAGGATTCTTATTTTTGAAAGAAACTATTGGGAAAGAGCAATTGCCTAAATATAGCATGTATATATTTGAAAGGAAAGAGATTGCACTTGGAGAAGAAATTAATTCCCTTTATGCCAAACACATTGATTGAGTAAAAGTCTAAGTATGAAAATAACCTTGTAAATGAGCAAGTTATTGCATTAAACAAGATTAATCATGTAAACAAAGTTTCTCAGGGAAGTAAGGCAGAAAGTAAATACAGACAGAAACATAGCTTGTTAACAGAATGGTCAGAATGCTGGAAAATAAGCACGAACAAAAAGGAATTTTGTCATAGCATGTAATGATTTATCTTAAATACCATCTTCTCTCATGTAAGGAAAAATGCCATATTCAGTGCCAATTCTGTAAACAACCTGATATTGCTCCAGAAGATTTCAAGCAATCTGACTCTGGCTCCTCCAGCAAGAAGAATGGTCAAAATACATTTGAAGGTAATTCTTTTGTGTTCACACTTTGTTTTTAACTGTATTTAAGTTTGTGCTGTAGAGGCTACTACTCCAAGGTATCACTGGTGGGTCTTGATTCTGTGGCTTAGCTGTTACCCTTGCAAGCCTTTTCAGGTAGGATTCAAATGATTAAGTTCAGGAGCGAAACAAAAAAGAGTAGAGGGAAAGTAGTGGTTGGCAAGGAACCCAGTTATCTAAATAGCAGAGGAATATGATAAATGTGCTTTCCCAAACTTAAAAAAACCCCCCAGTATCATACCTTTCTCCGATGTTTCCTTAGGTCGCTTGGCTTAGATTGGTAACAAAAGGAGCAACAACAGAAAAAGAATTATTAATAAATCTTATCTGAGCATAACAAAATGCCACACATTCATCTTTCTCACATTCTGAAGGGGGAAGCAGAGATTTCATTAATTTATCCATATCATATACTAATTATAGACTTGATGTCATAAGATAACCTCTGAAAAATATCGCATTCTGGGACAGCAGTTATTTTTTCTAAAGTTATAAGCTCCTTCATTTCCATAAGCTTTGCAAAGAACAGCAGATTGCAAGCTTATAGTAGCATTTTTTATTTTTTGAGTTTTCCTATAAATCCTTCCACTAACCCAAATAGAGGTTTGGTTTTGGTTTTTTTTTAGTTTTATCTAATATTACAAATGTATTGGTGTCTTGCCAACTGTAAGCACAAAATATCATCAAAAAACACCATGTCTGAAAAAGGAGTATTTCTTTCTAGTTATCCCATATTAATGTGACTGGCATTTTCAGTCAATGTATACAAATTCATGCACCTTCTGTACTGTAGCATTATTTGGCGGTAGAAGGCTGCTAGAATGTTTCCTGATCAACCCTCTTTTAATTTTTATTTTTGTTAGATGTCTCATTCAGTCAAGCAAAGCCAAAGGCACTCTGCAGAATTTATTTACTGCATGGATCTAGGTTGTGGAAACTCATGAAGTACTGCTCCTCCAGCCAACCCCTACAGGATCATCTGGCAATTTAGGCTCTAGAGACTAGACCTCTACAGAGCTCCTCCCAACTGATAACCTGTTGTGCCTGTTCCCAGCCACTAATAGGGGAGATATTCAACATTCAACTCCTTTTGCTGAAACAGTACAGGGCAGAAGTGTCCTGAAATGGCTGATGTATCAGCTAGTAAGGGTGGGCAAAGCTGTGGGCTGTGCTGCTGAGCATGCAGTGGGGTGCTACTTCTATGGCTTACGATATTTCAAGAGTTCAACTGCAACTCATATAGACTCATCCATCTGAGCTTTTGCTGGATGCCAGTGAGGCCATGGCAACCTGAAGTGTAGAGGCTATGCTGTCATTTTGTATTTGAATCTGATGAACTTACTGACCCAAAGCTACTGTATCCAAATCAAGGCAACCAGGCAGTGCAGGTGTCTGCTGGAAGGTCAGTTTAAACATTGCCATTTATCTGTAGCCAGACTGGTTAGTTTAAAGAGCCAGTGAAATGGAGCCAAACTGCATGTTTGGGAAGGTGCTGCTTTGGTGAAGTGGGAGGCACCGCAGCAGAGTGCATATCCATCTGCTCCACAACAGTCTGTGCCACCAACATTTTCATTTCTACTGTTCAGCAATGGGAACTGGGGGCAGCAAAGAATCCGTGCCACAGTCTGCCAAAACTGCCAGGCCTGGCCTCCTCTTGTGATAAGAAACTGCTGTCTTTAGTTTCAGAGAAGGCAGCAAACACTAACCTAAATGGGGAGAGGTAGAGGTGGAGACAAGCAGTTGTCAGTTCCCAGGAAATGGGAATACTAAGCTAGACAAAAGTCCCTACTCCCATCTGAGCAGACTGAAGTCAGGCTCCACTCCCAGCTGTTCTTAGCAACCTTCTTGGCTAGGAAAGTTAATTTCTGCTTTCTGATTGAGATAAAATCTCATTCCCCTCTGCTAAGAGGCTCCACAGGGAACCAGTGTTGCTGCTTCCCAAAAATGGACCCCAAGGGGACATTGATGATATACATATTATCAGAGAAATAGCAAATAAAAAATGGGGTTACACATATCCTATTCTCCTCCCTGTATGCAGAGATCAGCAGACTAGGCTGCTTTGATTCTCTTCTAGTGCTCAAAGGGATGACTTCACCCAGGCTCCAAACTGGTTTGTAGCCCATAATGAACTCTGCACCCTGCATCTGCACTCTTACCAATTTCAGTGTTGTACATCATACAGAATCATAGAATCATTTTGGTTGGAAAAGACCTTTAAGATCATCGAGTCCAACCGTAAACCTAACACTGCCAAGTCTATCACTAAACCATGTCCCTAAGTGCCACATCTACATGTCTTTTAAATACTTCCAGGAATGGTGACTCTACCACTTCCCTGGGCAGCCTGTTCCAATGCCTGACAACCCTTTTGGTGAAGAAATTTTTCTTAATATCCAATCTAAACCTCCCCTGGCACAACTTGTGCTATTGCTTGTTACTTGTGAGAAGAGACTGACACTCACCTGGCTACAACCTCCTTTCAATTGTAGAGAGCGATAAGGTCTCTGCTCAGCCTCCTTTTCTCCAGGCTAAATAACCCCAGTTCCCTCAACTGCCTCTCAAAAGACTTATGCTCTAGACCCTTCACCAGCTTTGTTGCCCTTCTCTGGACACGCTCCAGCACCTCAATGTCTTTCCTGTAGTGAGGGGCCCAAAACTGAACATACTACTCAAGGTGCAGCCTCACGAGTGCCGAGTACAGGGGCACAATCACTTCCCTACTCCTGCTGGCCACAGTATTTCTGATACAGGCCAGGATGCTGTTGGCCTTCTTGGCCACCTGGGCCATATGACTGCTGGCTCATGTTCAGACAGCTGTCATCCAGTACCCCCAGGTCCTTTTCTGCCAGGTAGCTTTACAGCCACTCTTCCCTAAGTTCATAGCGTTGCATGCGGTTGTTGTGACCCAAATGTAGGATCCAGCACTTGGCCTTGTTGAACCTCATACCATTGGCCTTGGCCCATCGATCCAGCCTGTCCAGATCCCTCTGTAGATCAACACTCCCACCCAACTTTGTGTCATCTGCAAACTTACTAAGGGTGCACTCGATCCCCTCATCCAGATCGTTAATAAGGATATTAATCAGAACTGGCCCCAGTACTGAGCCCTGGGGAACACCACTCGCGATCGGCCGTGAACTGGATTTAACTCCACAATTCTTCAGGCCCAGCCAGTTATTCACCCAGCGAAGAGTACACATTCTCTCTGCAGGAGAATGCTGTGGGAAAAGGTTTCAAAGGCTTTACTGAAGTGTAAGTAGACATCATCTACAGCCTTTCCATCATTCACTAAGCGGGTCACCTTGTCATAGAAGGAGATCAGACTAGCCAAGCAGGACCTGCCTTTCATAAACAATCTTGAATATGTTGACACTTGACTATTGCACTGTTTCTTTTTGTCCAGGACCAAAATTAAAATTTTGAAAATCCTTTTTCAAATCAAACCAGTCAGTTCACAATATGTCTCCAAAGGTACAAGAAGGTTAGAAATGTTTTGCATGGCAATTTGATGGCTTGGTATCTATTTATTTGTGCGGCTTGTAATGTTGAAATATATCAGTTAAACAAATTATTGGAAAACAAAGTACTTACTTGAAGTGCTTGATACACTGTCATTAAGAATATGTATAAAATGCTGCAAGTATAAAAGAGTATACCAAATATAGAATTATATCCTAACGATCATATACACGAAGTAGTAGTTTTTAATGTCTTCTAGACACTTCCTGGAGCCTTAAACTCACCAACAGTCCCACAGTGTACTGTGTAATAACTGTATCACTTCAGAGCTTTTCATTAGCAAATCTTTTCTACACGTAAATTGATTAAAGTTATTACAATGGTAAGTTTTGTTTCTTATTAATTCCACTGCCTGTGTGAAGGCCCTTGATCCTCAGATCAAGAGGTCTCTGGCAAATCATGCATTGCTCAAAAACACAATCAAAAAAAGAAAACCGCACAAACATCCATACTCTAGAGAATTTGTTAACTGCATGTATAATTAAGAGGTGAATGAAGAATTAAAGATGAGCCACTCCTACAGCGAAAAGATGAAATATTTAATACTAGAAATATCACACCTAAAATTGACAATACAAACTTTCTTACCAGCGTCATAACCCCCATTCTGTCCATCTCCCTGGCTGGACTTCGAGGGGTGAGTTTAGGAGTTGAGTGTCCACTGGGAGGAGATGAGCTTGCAAGTGATGATGCCGTCACTGAGCCAGTAATAGATGTACCTTGGTGGACTCTGGCCAGATTTAAGCCTTCCAGACTCACGCTGGCCACTCTGTTCTCTATCTCTTCAGCACGCAGTTCTGTCGACTCTTTCTCTTCTTGGATTAACCTTATTAAATAAAAGAAGAACACAGTCAAATGAAATTGGGCCTTTAAGAAGGGAATTGCTAGGATAATCCATGTTAATAAAACAAGAGAAAAACAAAACAATTTGTCCATTTAATTCGTACAAATTTATGAAAAAATTACAGTTGTTTCTAAAACATTGAGTTTAAAAGTTAATTTCACTAAAATAGCTCTCTTGTTAACAATAAATATAAGCTTCTTAAACATATATAGCTTCAACAGGATGCTTCCACTGGGTTGTTTAGTTTTTGTTTTTAATTGAGATTGTACCTAGAAAGATAAAATATGTTTAAAAGAAAACATTTGTTTAGGAGTTCTTTAGCCATAAACCCATGTTAGAAAGAGTCTTTTTTTTTGCAAAGAGTAGGAAAAAGTACAAAGAGTCAAGGTTAAATGAGATAATACGAAGTTTGAGGAGGTGAAACTCTGAACCAGGCTTTTCTGAGTGAAAAGATGCAAGTACAATAAGTGAAACCATAACACACTGAAAATAGAAACCTACAAATTTCTGTGCTTTGATAAATCTACCCTAATATCCATTTCAAAATTTCTACAAAATGTCTACAGTTCTTTCTGAAATGAGGCATGGCAGGAACTTAAAAGCAATATTATTTTGAAAGGGAATTATATAAATCTTTTTCATTTTAGTAATCTAAATTCTTAATCATCTTGTACAATAAAACAAATCTAAGGCAAAAAAACCCCAAAACACTGAACCAAGAAAATATGAAATGTAGTACAGCTTATCAGACGGTCCTTGTAGAATCATTTTTCCTGTAACTTGTTAAAAAAACCCCCCAAATTAGTTACCTGGTTCTTTAATAATGATGGTGATGGTAATGAAAGCCTATACTTCAGTATAAGCTTAGCAGCAGGGGAAATAAACTACTCTCAGTGGACCTCCAACAAAAATGACTATATACAGTGTGCACCCTTGCTTCCTTTTTGAGATAAAGCTGTACCTAACATCTGGGTCAAGATCCTGTGTTAAGTAAAACAGTGATCTGATTCAGGTTGGCACAAATAATATCCCATTGTGTCATCTGCAGGTACAATTTCTTGTGAAAATCTTGTAATGTATTACATAATTACCTGTTAAATTGTCAAAATGCTAGTATCTTTTAAAACAAATACATTTTTTGCATCTACAGCTTCCTGCATTGGTCACAGTACTGACTTCTTTGTAATAACAGAAAATACAGATAAGTTTCTCTCTTTTACATACAGTGTTTTAAGGAGATTTACCCTTCCAACAAGAAAATTTCTCTTTGACTGTATCTTGACAGCTGTAATAAGAGATTTTAGAAAATAGTAGATTAATTCTACTTCAATTAAGAAATTCTGGGAGTGGTGAAAATGTAAAGCTAGAGATCTATAACAAAATGTCTCCCTTGTGAACAGATAGGTTATTAAAATTCAATATATTCCAATAGAGCTGTCCTTTTAAAGTTAGTTTGTTCAGAGAACGACTGAAATCTGTCAAAAGGTAATCTGGTTTTGATTATAATTCTCACCGCAGTCTTTCTTTCTATAGTATGACCATAAAGTCACTAATACATTTAGTAATCTCCTTTATCTCCTTCTAAAGAAACAGTCACTAATGAGAGGATGTTTTTCATACACTAACTTTTTAAGTATTACCCTTCTTGCAAAAGATGTAAGAATGCTTTAAGCCTAAAATATGGTTTCGTTTATAAAATTCACTTTATTAAAATATATATCACTCCATTAAATTTGCATGGAAATTACTAAGATACATTCAATTAATCACCTATTCCCAAGCACTATAGCCCAACTTGGAGCATGTAAAGTCACATTCTAGAAAATCAAAACCATGTCTGAGAAAATGTGGCTTACATAAGATGTAACATAGGAATAATTATCAGAAGAAAGCATGAAAAGCACTGAGATAAAACATCTCTGATAGGAGGTCATTAGTGAGTAAGAAGAGTCATGCAGAACAGTGAAAAAGACCTTAAGAAGAGGACTATGAATAGTAATCAGTCCAATCTGCCATGTGTTAGCCTTCTCTAATGTCTTTCTCCTCAACTGGCCAGCAATTATTCATTTGGAACTTTTTTTGAAATAAATTTCTATGGTTAGGAAACAAAGATGCCATTGGTATCTTCACACAATCAATACTCTCATATAAAAGCAAACACATTATCAATCCTTTAAATGCACAAATGGTTTCCTAATTGTTATGAACAGTATCTGAACTCATGCACTAATGGAAGCTTGAAGCTGTAATCATAAATGCATTGCAGCTGGTTCAGGCTACATACCTGATTTCTTTATTGATTGCATCTAGCTGCTCCTGAAGCATCATGGCCAGAGTCTGGGCATCGGAATGACCGCTTGGTGACAGGAGGTCCATGGAGCTGAAGAGTGTTTCTCTATCATCATCATCAATGTCAGACATTTCAGTGTCACTTTCAAAAGGATGGCTGCTCAAAATGCCAATCTGCTGGGTCCTATTCCACTCGTGATCTCCAAGTGATTTTACCTGAGCAGGAATTAGGATGTATATGGCTTATTCCATGGAAAACAACTGCAAAGTTGAACTTCTATAAAATGGGAAAGGAAAGCAACTAACACTTTAGAATACTTATCCAATGATTAATCCACCATTAATTACTGCAGATGATGTGAAGTATTTTCACATAATTTCTAATGCTGTGTAAAATTAACTATCAGGAAACTTTACACAAAAACATACCCAGAAAAGACAAAAAGTTAAGTATGCTTGAACTTTGATGTCTGAACTTCAACCTTTTCTGCCTTCATTTTAGTACAGCAGTACTCTTGTCTGAGTGTGTATAGAAAAAACTCTGCTATTTGTGGGTTTTTTGGGTTTTTTTATGTTTGTTTGGGTTGTTGGTTTTTTTTTAATACACAAACTGTAAGCTTAAAAGCCTGAAATATGTGCTCTTATTAGGGGATATATGAGAAGAAATTGGGGATTAACCTTCGGTTCATCTCTGCGTACGCCCATGCGGCCTCTTCTAGGTCGCCTTATCACTTTAGTTGACCGATAGTCAGACTGGCTATCAACCAGTGAGCCCACAGAGTACCTCAGCTCTGCTGATGTGTCAAGGTGAGGCCTATAAAAAGAGCCACAGAAGCAGATTGAGAGAGTAACATGAATAATAAAGCAACAATCCTATGACCTTCAGTCTGGGAACACAGATACATTTTTTTAAACAAAAAAAATTATTATGTATCAGAATAAATGACAAAAACATGGCACAAAAGATAATTTAAAAGTGAAAACTTGAAATCATACTATGAGAAAATTAAGGAAGAAAATAAATGAATAAAACCTTCCATAGTTCAAAATGAAGGACTTGCATAGTAAAACTAATTGTCCAAAACTATAATATGGAAAAACAAGTAGATTTAAGGAAAAGTTAATTAACAGAACTGGCCGCTGTATGGACTACCCTGTATATTTTCCTTCCATTACTTTCCTGAATAAATATACCAGAGGTTACTGTAAGCATGTTACACGTTCATGAGTGAGAATAGCTACAGTACTTTCCTATAACTCTGTGCTCTGCACTATGAAAATATTAATGAACAGCCCTGTGATATATAACATTGGTTATGAATGATTCAAGTTTATTTGATGATGCTTTTGAGAGTTTTAACCCAAAACTTTTCCTGTACTTCTGGCAAGTGTTGGACATTTTGTGGAGGCATATACATGATGACTTCAGCATATCTTTTCTTGGCTGCAGACAATGGTCCCAGTAAAAGTTCTCTGCATGGTACCAATAGAAGCATCCTGCCCATGGGCCATGTAGGTGAGTCAGAAGAGCAAAGGCTCTGTGCACCACTTGAGCATTCACAGCAGTGGAGACCTGAACAATTTCTAGTTCTTAACACATAAGCAATCTCCACATAAAAATATATGAATAGCATGATTATAGTAGAAAAAAAAGAATGTAACAAATATTATACCGATAAGACAACTAAATATGTATTTGTTTATAATAACTCCTAAATATGTTCGACATTTCACTATCTATATGAGCAAAAAATTAGTTTAATGTTGTACTCTCATTTTATTTATTTTATTTGTAAACTTGGGGAAAAATGCTTACAGTCACCTACAGACAACTTATAGGGTTCACAGCAATGTTAATAATCAGTTACAGGAAATAGAATCGGAATAAGTTTTGTTCTTAAATACTTCCCTCACTTTGAAAAGAATGGTGTTCAAGGAAATGAAGCCTTTAATCCTGGACATAAAAAATGCTAAGAGAATATCTGCTTTCCAAAATTAAGGCAAGAATTCAGAAACTCATGTATATCTATGCTGAAAACTGCAGGCTGTATGTGTCACTGTTTTCCTGAGCTCTAGTTTTGTGTCTGTTTCTAAACACAGAGATTCACTTCTCCTTGGGAAGAATTTAATTTGAATTAAAACATACTCATACTTGGAAAACTAAAGCACTGGTCTCAAATTTCAAACATAATTTTAATAAAGTAAAAGTGAAAGTTAAAATATTACAACTGTGGTGCCTGTTTATTGATAAATGGGAAATGCAAAAGATCTTGGAAAAGCATGAATTACTACAAGCTACTTTGACAGAGTATATTAAGAAATGTAATTACTGTCTGGTATTACAAGTACTGTGACAAATCTGAAATAATAATGGAAGGATTTCAAGCACTAATACAGTTTGTTTTAGAAAAAATAAATACTGTAAGAAAACAAATTAAAATAAGAGGTACCAGAATTCCTGAAATATAGATATGTGCTATAGTTATCAAATCAGATACATAAAAATGTCACAGATACCGAATAATGTTTTAGAATTTACGTTAGAGGCAGAGCATACGTCAGATCTTATACTGTTGTCATAAATGCCCTTTTCTGAACAACCATTAGTTTGTCTTCTCTTAAGCTTCCCATCATGCTCTGTAGGAACTTCCATAACATTAGAAAAATTACAATTTTACCTTTTAAAAAAATCTCTAAAACTCACTTTTTTTCATTATACCAATACAAAAACTTGACAACAGTTGGGCTACAGATGTCCTAAGCCCTCCATCTACAGCACCAGACAATAATCGTTTGGGTTTTTGTATGTTTAATTCAACTGTCTCTTATCTGTTATATAGTAAACCATTTAGGGCAGTGACTGTTTTTTATTTTCTGTGTTTATACTGTATTTGCTGTAATAGAATTTTGCTCTGATACTTGATAATATTTGGCACTTGTGCAGGAAAAGAGAAACAGCCCATGTTCCAGTGTTTGTCAGCAAATACCTGTCCACTGACAAACTTCATTATTCTGCTGAAAGAACCAATTCCTGCAAATACAGAACTGAATGTGTGCTGAGAACAATAAGTATTTGATGCTGATAGCTCCCTATTTCTGTGAGGGCTGGCAGCTTCATGAGGTGAGGTCATGGAATGGGAAATACGCTGTTATACCTGCTGAATTCCCAAGATATTTAGGCAGCATATCAAGTTCAAACAGCCCTTTGACAAGGGCTAATCAGACTCCTATTTACAGAGCACGAGTTAATGATACCCATTTACCCAGCTAAGAAGGCTGCTGTTCACCAAGGATGGCTACTCCAAAAACATCTCCGTTTGTTGCAGTAGTTGCAATAGTCTATGTCCCCATAATCACCGTCAAAAAAGTGTATTTTTTGCCTGTAGTCACACTCAGTCTCCCAAAGGAACAAAAATTTGAACAATTACAAGCGACACATTCTGAATTCAGCAATTTACACTCCTCCACATACAGAAAAATATTATTTCAAGAGATAATAAAAGGTTGAGGGAAAAACCATGGCTAGGTACTGAGCAAGCTGTCTGAGGAAACAACAGGAGACAATACCTGCTGTAAGCAAAAAAATTACACAGTAAGAATAACTTTAGAAGACTACAGTGCTCTTAATTTACTCGTGGTCCATGAGCTTTGGCTGGCATTAATTTAAAAATTAATATGTTGCTTATTATGAAAACAGGACATGGCACAGTTATCAATAAAGTAACAATTTTATGTTGAGGGATACTTTTAGGCAGAGGGACTTTCTAGAACTATGAATTAATTTCAGCTCTTAGTAGCTATTTTCATGGTATCTGTCTTGTTATTGTTCCTATATTGCTTTTCCACCAAAGAGAGGCACAATGTTTAATGTCCTGTTATGATATTGTCAGACCTCTCTGAATATTGACTTCATCTTTAGCTGACGATCTGTGGTCTTATCCTTCACACTATGCAAAGCTGAGTTATTTCTTGCTAATTAAAAATAATTGTTAGATATAATTGATAAATAAATATGACTATAAATATGCTAATCAGTTTCAGCATTAACATAATTGTTAGATATAATTGATAAATAAATATGCTAATCAGTTTCAGCATTAACGACAATGGTTTCAACTTTATTTTTAAGGTGTCTTGGGGAAAAAAGAGTATTTGGATAGACTATTGTAAACCTTCCATAATTTAAAAGACTTTTGTTAATCTCAGTAATATTTCAGTGTATACTCACTGCTATAAGGTCCCACTTACTTATGAAAAAAGTGAAAAGCAACAGCAATAATAATTGCATGGATTTGACATTTTAAAAGAAATACATGACTATGCAAGGTCTGAACGCATACAATTTATAAAGGCTTGACACTTATATTTATGTTCCATTTCAGCTCAAAGTGAGGGAACTTTTGTCATTAAATATTACCTTGACAAAGTGGGTTCAATTAAAGAACCAGCCCTCAATTTCATTTGATCCAGTTCAGATCTCAGTTTCTCAATTTCTTCAGCAAGTCTTTCCTGGAAATGAAAAGAGTATGATACACTTACTTGTGATACAAAATATATTCATGTTATTAGATATTGCTCTCATAAAGCTAAATAAGATAAACTGAATGTAGCACTGATTATAATAAAAAAAGGCGGTGAACTAATTCAAGCCTCATTATTGCTAATAAGACATGTATCAAGAGGAGATTGTACAGCAATCTTTAGTGTTTTTCCACTATAGCTTGAAGTGACGGCAGGACAGGTTTGTCCTTGAAGCTTTCTTCTTACACAGTTAGGGTCAGCAAAAGAACGAGCACTCATTTGTGCACTAACTGCACTCTCCATGCCAGGCATAGTCCAACGTGTGACATGCCATTTTCCCTTTAGAGACAAAGAGTAGAGACATAGACTTGTAGACAACTACATTTTAGGTGCTTTATTGAACTGCAGATTTACTGCTCGCTCTTGGGTGCTGATGAAACTCTAGTATGAGGAAGCTGGTGAGAAATGATAAGAGTGACACAAAAACTGGATTTTTGGAACCAACTAACAAAAAGACTATTGACAGCAGCCTCTAGGAAAAAAAAGTGCTGTTCCCAAATTCTACTAATAATATAGTCTACTAATAAAATGAAAAAAAAAAAAAAAGAATTTGAAAAGAAATTAAGAGAGAAGATGGAATGAAGAAGTGACTTTGCTGTTCCTGCTATTTAAAATGTTCAGGATTCCAAAATGCTAGGAAGGAAAGAGATCTGCACTTATTTACTATCAGATTCAGTAATTCTTATTACAGTATTTTTCCATTATTTCTTTATTGAATAGAATTACTGAGATGACTTGCTGGTCACTCTACTTGTATCATTTGCTAGTTATTTAGAGATTAGCAGTATTGGCTGTTATGTCCATCTCTCTGAAATTATTTCATCAGTTTCCTCATCAAAGTGGAACAGATAAACCCTTCTAAGTGGAACTTAGAAGCTCTGGAGTTAGATGTATGCAGTTGTGTGTGAATAGGACTCATCTTCAATCACACACAGCAGTAGTGGAGGTGTTTTATTTGTTTCACTTCCTACTCTTAAGCAAGAATCAGTAAGTATAATAAATAAAAATACCTTTGCAAAAATACTTTTAATATAAATTTATATTTTTATATCAGATTTTTCATTTTTGTCAGAGGCTGATATATACATTGAAACCAGAAAACAGACTAAAAAAGAATTAGCCACTGTATTCACTTTTCACTTCCACTCTAATACAATTAAAACAATAACGTTATGTTGGAGATAATATTGACAAAATATTTTATTTACACAGACAAAATTGGTATCTATGATTCAGGTTTAGAGTTTCTGGTAGCAAAATGATAGAAACTTTTGTTTCAATTGACACAGCTTTAGAAACATCTTTTTTGTCCTTTTTGTCATCTGATGATGGTGAAGTATGATCTTAATTTTGTGATAGCTGAATCACCCTATAACTGGTATAGCACAAAAGCTTTATTTCTTTAAAATGCCCTACAAACTCCTGTTTGGGACTTTAATCTCTCTGCCTTTCTACAAGGTTATCCAAATGTATATGAAAATAAGAATTTATTTGAACAGATACCTCTTTTGCTATTTTTCTCAAAGGTCTTGATTTTGATTGTCATATGGTATTATTATATAAGCATCGAATGGAATTGCATTTTTAAAATTCTTTTCTTTTTAAAATGGATTCGATACATTACAAAAACACTTTGGTGAATCTGAAGGCAGATACATTTGTGTATCCTACTGTGCTCAAGACAAGCATAGCCTCAAAACAAAATCCTAACATTTGAGATTGGAATAAATGTTTATAACTAATTTGACTGAGTCACTAAACAGTATTAGGGGTTAATTTTCAATGAACTAAGAAAATGCACTTTCAGCTGTATTTAGCACAACGCCTCTGCACCTGTTAAGAAGAATTGCATCAAATCAAGCAATTACATTCTTCACTATGAAAGTGTAACCAACTATGCATATGTGTCTGTTAAATAAGAGTTTTTCAGAATTAAAACTGATAGAACAAAAATTCCAGAGCCAATGAAATCAATATGAATTTTAGTATTGCCTTCCTGAGGCTAGGATCTCAACCATGAACTTAGTTCAGAGACCCTCAAAGGCTAGTTAAGAAATCTGAGTGATTAAAGGAATTATCATCGATGCCAGGAAGATTTTACATGCTAGTTGGATAATTAATACACCATATAAATACTTCCAAATAATAAATATTTAACTTTTGATAAAACCAGATAAAATTGTAGTATCTTATAGTACCTTGTCATGTAAAGATTCTTCTAGATTTTTCCTAAAACTTTCAGATTCTTGAATCAAAACATTCTATAAACAAAAAGAAGAAGAAAAAAGATAAACTAGAAAGAAATTAGAGATATGCTAAATATCATGTATCACCATATACATGTATCCTCCATGTACAAGTTAGCAAAGTTAAGTAACAAATGAGCCTTCATATTCACTGGACTTTAAAATTAAACTCTTTTAATGCTTCAGTTTGAGTAACATATTAAATTTAACACATGGGAAATAATCCAAATATGAAGGATGATGTTCTACCAAGAACAGCAAAAACTTTGCATTTTCCTTGAAGTGAACAACCGTCACACTTTTACACAACTATTTTTCCCAGGTTTTTCTTTTGGTAGGTCTATTTCTTGCTTTGTAAAACATTTTGTTTCAGTGATATAAACCAGAAGTGTATCGTCTGAGATGTTCTAATCAAACTGAAGGTGAATAACTAGGAGAGGGAAGGATTAAGGAGGGTGAATATAAAGGTCATGGGATTTGAATTTTGCATGTCTTCTGTGTCTCACATCAAGAAAACCCTGTAAATAACATTCCCTCTCCAAGTGGAGGTGCTCCTTCTCCTGTGGTGGCAGCATTTTGCTCTTCAGCAGGTTAATATATGGGAATGACAACACATCCAAAACATGGCCATTTCTCAGTTCTCATCCACTTTCTCTTACTGCCTCATACCATGTCATGCACTGGTCCTTTACAAGCTTTTCATCAGACTCCTCACTGATAAAAATGGGGACTCATAATATTCAGCATATCCAGTTTGCACTAGTTCTGGAAAGATCTTGAACTCTTAATTCAAGAGTTGAATGCGTAAGTTAGACCATATTTGTGGTCGTATTTGGTAACACAAAATCAGCATGAGGCCTCCCAATAAAAGTAGAACAGGTTGCACACAGGAAAATATTTACTAAGCTCAATTTCACACTGCCCTTTGCACTGTACCTTTTCCTCAAGTGCTGCCATTCTCTCTTTTAAATGTAGCTGCAGACGTTCATTGGACTCTGTCAAAAGTCTGTCTACAGTATCCGATAATCTTTTGTTGTGCTCCTCATTCATTTTTTCTCTTTGCCTTGCCTTTAATGTAGAATAGAAGAGACAGATTGGTAGGGTCCAAAATTAACCAGTACAGACTTGTATCATTAAAATAATAATAATAACAAAATGGCAACTGTAGCTATTTAAAGAAATTCCACAGGAAATGGAATTACAATTATTGATTAATGCACATTCATTTTTGTATCAGCAGAATACTTTGAAAGGTGCAACTAGAGGTAAACTACTATATCGGGATGGTTAAGTAAAGTGGGAAGATGCTGCCATCACTGCTATAAAAAAAATATTTACCAGTAGATAGATTTTTGTGCTGGAGTGCATAATGTAGTGCTATATTTGACAAACTAAAGAAAAGTGCACAGAAGTTGTCTGCAATACACATACTCTTTGAAGTTCCTGATTCTTCTCTTCAAGTTGAGCTTCTAAGTGTCTCATACGTTCCTCAATGTTTCCATGTCTTTCTTCTGCCTATAAAAAAATAGAAAGACTATTTTTGTAATTTAAGTGGCTTCATACGTTTTCATCTCAGTAAGGATTAAACAAAACATAAAGCAAGCTACTACTAACTGCAAACTTAGTTTTTTGAAAAGAAACTTTATTTAAACAGGCAGCTGAACAGCATTGCTTGAAATGTGTCAGCTACAAGGGCCTGTTACATCCAAGCATCAGCAAAACATTGGAGTTATTTATGAGCAATGAAATCAGCCAAATGTAACATGCAGACTGTGCATGGTTTGAACACAAACCTGCCATCGTAAAATTGTAAGCTCCTGAAGCACTGAACTGCACGATGGTTGATTATCAATAAAAAAAAAAATTAAAGAAAATGAAAACAAATCAGATGGATTCTATTTAGCAATAGAAAGTAAAGTCCAGTAGGACTACCTTCCTACGTATGGAGATCATTTCTTGTAGTTTAGCTTCCATAACATATTGATAATCATCAGATGAGGTAGAAGAGGTTGGATCAGACTAACAAGTCAAGGAAAAGGAGAGGGACAAAATTGAAAAATCAGAACTAAAGACACTGACACTGAACAGAACACAGCACAGAATGCTTAAAAGAAAAGTGTGATTGAAAATTTAATACTTTTAATTGACAGATTTTTATGTGGAATACTACACTGATATTTGGTGAATATGATGCAGTTGATGTGGAGAAACTGAAAATAATGGAATGCTAAAAAAGCTATCAACCTACACATGGAAGTTCAAGGTTAGTGATGGCTGGCTGATGACATACTACTACAGAGTGGATTCAAAGCAATACTGTCTAATCTATTTTATTTATTTATTTATTTATTTTTTAAAATCAGGGTAAACTAAACACCAGAACAGGACTCCGCGAGACCAGTGTCAGAAAGTTCTTTATAATTCTATCATTTTCTAGGAATGAAAACAATGCACAAATACTAAATCAATGGCTCAGTCAGTTACAGAACTGTGCAATGTTATGATCCATTCCCTAATTGCTAGAAAACAGAAAGAACGTCAAAAGAGACAAGGCTCAAGCTTTAGTATTCCATTTTAGAATACACTACATAAGCCCTCTTATCCAAATAAACAATAGAGTTCTCATCCCTTTGGAAGGATCCACCCTGGTGGATCTCTGGAAAATCAAGGTCACCAGATAAAAGAAGAACCTATAAATAAAAAATCATTAATAAGAAAGGAAAGTCATTACTGAGTATAGAAATGGTAATCAATCCAAAGATTCATTACTACTTCTGACAGAAGTTGACCTTTATTAGGTCATTTGTTGAAAAACATGAATATTCATGTTATTGTCATATCAAACAAGTCTATGTTATCATTCAAAATTTTTAAAAAAGCCCTTAAAAAAGGGGAAATGCTATATTGGATTTGTTGCTATGGAAACAGGAATGTGCATAAGGTGTATAGACAGGGCTACTGATGACTGAGTTGTGAGCTCACACTTGTCAAATGCTATTTCACTCTGTCAGATTTTCTCTCTCTCAAAAAGAGATCCTGAACTCCATCTTTACAAAAGCAAACTCTAATATGTACAAGAAATACTAATTTTACAACTGTATTTTTTCAGTGAGACTGTTTTTCATACTGTTGTCTATTAATGATTTATCAGAATAATTAGGAATAGATATGAAAGTAATGCCAGACGTACCTCATAACTTAAAACTACCTATAAAATAAACTCAGTAGTGTTATCAGGACCAAAAGATCAGATAGAAAACAAGCCTATGATCTAGAGATTTATAAATACAAATTGCAGCTTTTGATATGAAGACATTCATATGAGAAAATCCTGCTTTCTATAAATACAAGAATAATACATAGCTTTGAAGATAACTACTATTCTTTTCAGAGTAAGTAAACTCAGAAAATTCTGATTCTTGCAAAATTTAAGGAAAAGTCAGTACACTTTGTAACTAAGGTCATTTATTAAGCACAGTCATCGTTTCTGATCGAGAAGCAGGCGCATTGTGATGTCGTTGAACTTATTCATTACCTGATACTATTTTGTCTATTTACTAAGACTTGAACCAATGACAATCCCTTTATGATTTTCTTTATCTTATCTTTAAACAAACTAAACATATTAGTTAGTTTCAGCACACAATGCCAGTGCACTGCTTCCTCTCCCAATTGGATAAATAGAAAGATAAGGCTGAAAAATTCAAGTCCCTCTGATTGCAGAAAACCAGATCACGCTATCACTTCCATGAAGTAACAAAGCTTTGCCCTCCTCTGAAGAAGACAGACTTTTCTCCTTTTTGAGTCCTGGCTGCCCTACTGGTTCAAGCCCTTCCCTTAATGTGTCTTTAAGGGTCAGGAGAAGATTTGAAATCACCAAAGCTCTGAGCTGATGATAGAGAAGGCTTAAGTAATTCTACGTCTTTTGAAACAATTTTAATTGAGGGAGATGTAGAACCCATTGTGGGTATCATCCTACAAAATTAAAATACTTAGAAGCTTCATTAGTTGACTGCAAACTTTAAAAGCAAGTTACTTGATTTTTACTACTTCTATAGACTTAATTGTAGATTAATGAAAAATTTGAAGATAAGCAAACTAATACTTCTAGGTTAAAAGGGGATCTGATTTAAGTCTTGTGGTGCTGTCTGTCATAACCTGTCCTTCAGAAGCCAGTCTCACTAGCTATATAATATACAACTAAAAATAGATTTTCAGTCCAAACCGTGCCACACTTTATTTCTTAGCAGGAAACAGTCTTTTCAATGCATAAAATAATTGTGATATTAGCCCCTAACTATTATTTGAAAGAGAAACAGGAATGAATTTGTCAGAATTATGTTATCTGAATTCTTATATAGAAAACATTCTTGAAAGAACATTATTTTCTATTAAGATTCTTAGAGCTATCTAATTCTGTTATTTCAGAACTTCCTACTGCTTTAATAATTCAATAAAGTGTATGATTAAAATATAAATAATTTTGCATAAGAGTTTTCAGTTATTTCACCAAGAATATTCAAATGTTGATAGGTACATCCTTGTTAGAAAATCTTCTTGCATGTGTCTTTTAGTACCTGTACTTAATTTTCCAGCATAAAAAAAAAACAGAGCTGATCTCCACACTCATCTCCCTTTACATCTCTTTGGTAGGATAGAGACTTTAAAATTAATTAAAATTCACTATGCCTTGCAATAAAAAAGAAGTCATTATTCTACACACTTAAAATATATTTGAATATTTTATGTTTCCTTTATCTATGTGCATTTCATTTGTTTGTTCCTAAAGTGTTATTCTATATTACTATAAAAAAACCAAAATTATTTTATAACTAAGACATTAAACAATTAGGCTCAATCGCTTCTTTGGCAGAGGACAAGCACAGGTGCACAGCCTTAGTACCCACCCTGGGTTCTAATGCTATTTAGAATCTAACCCATGACTCCTACATGCCAAATGTATGAGTAGCCCCTCCAGCAGGGACATGAATCAAAAGGGAATCCTCTGTAAGGGCTAAGGAGACAGAAACACATGTACTTAGTCCCTTTTTCTCTCACTTTCAGAAACCTCCCCTGTAGACAAAGACCTGCAGTGGGAAAGAGCAGCCCCTCCATCTCCTGGTGTGCCTAGTTGGAACACACTCCCAAAATGAGTGGGATAACACCTCTTATTGCCCTTTACACTGAAGAAGGCCCCAGCATAAGTCTCAAAGAGACCCTTCCAGATAAAAAGACCTAGCAATTCAGCTATTCCTTAATGGATTTGAAAATGCCTTCTGCAGACTTCCCCAGGCCATACTTTTAGGATTGACACACCTTTAGTGGCTACACTTTTTTGTTGTCCACATGTGTTAGTCAGGCCCAGACACTCCCACCAGAATAGGCTCTTTGGGAGAGTCTGGGAGCCTACGATAAAGATACTGAATGTCTCAGTCTCTGCCTTGTGTCTTGAGGCATGAGGCAGAGGCTGAGACACCAGAGTTAGTCATGTTGCTGTAGCAGAATTTCATACACATGTGAGACAGAAGAGACAACAGTGGACTCTGAGGTTCATAACCAGAAGTTGGATTTCTTCCGATTTGCTTAACTTAAGAGTTAAATCAGTTAAAAACTTTCTAAAATGCACTTGTGTGACTACTTGCTTGGCAGATCTTACCCTACATTCCTCTCTCTAATTTACGACTTGCGTGCCTATTCAATAGTACTCTGTACAGAACGATTAGTAAGACACATGGTGCAGTATTCAGCAACTAGCATTTAAAACATTTAGCCAGCACATTCAGTTATAAATAGATTTGTGAAATTGTGTATCTTAGACTGGATTAAAAATATATGGACGAAACCTAACAATGTCTGACCCCTATGAGACACCAGCATGAGTCTTAATGCTCACTTTGCAATCTATATGCTATGAAATAGCAAAGGAATAGCCAGTATAAGCCAGTAATAGACAGGAAAATTTTGCTTTGAGGGAATATTGAAGCAGCTTGTATTAATGCTCTCTAACCTTGTTAAAATTCCACTGCTGCTCCTGCTGCTAATGCGCCCACAAAAAAAAAATGTTGCTTTCACATCATCTGTTGCTGTTGGCACTGCACATTTTCTAAGTTTTTGCATCTTACTTGAAAAAAAATAAAATCCAGTTTCAGATCCAGAAAGCACCTGTACAGTACAGGCGCTATGATTTTTCTTCCTAATGCTGAGCTGTAGGATTTTTCTAATGGTGCAAGCCAATTTCCACAGTTTAGAGACCTTGACTTTTGAACACCTGCTGTCCTCAGATTTTCTACTGGCTTCTTATGGCACACATTCCTTTGGCTATCCTTTGAATGAGTGAGTTATTCAAGACAAAAAAAATGCATTATTAAATAGAGTTATGCAACTGGAGGTGAAAATACATGATCATGGTGACTGAGTCACAACAGCTCACAAAGTTATCAGCTACTTGTTCACATGCTCACTTCTAACCTTCAAAAATATGACAAAATATGTTGGCTTAAGTCATGCCTTTTCCTGAGACCGAGCCTTTTAGTCACTAGATATCCACACATTCTTGCCCCTCCGTCATTTCCCCACTACTTTCTACACCTCATAGGTTCAGTAAACAACTCCTTCCATTTAGCTCTGTCAAACTTGTTTCTTACATTTCTTCCTCCTACCAGGAAAAAATCTTCTGTGGAAAGGGAAGCACAAGAACAGGGGTGGTTTGAGAAGACAGTACCAGGTTGTAAATGTGGAGTTTTCTTAGGCTTCCCTCCCCATAGAAGATTCCGCGCCCCCCCCCCCCCCCAGTAAGATTTATCAGCTTCCTTCTCCAGTTAACACGTCATCTTCTCTCTCTCTCCCTTCTTTTCAGAAAGGTTTCTGTCTTAACCACATCAACTTACGCAGAACTTCTTTCCCCACTTTGCATCCTTTTCACTGCAGACCTTTTTTCACTTTCTTGCATCTTCTTCCCTACTTAATACAAACCACACTGCCACAAAATAACCAATGTATCCTACTTGCCTCCAACTTTCAAGTCATCTTTTATCACCTTGAAAATAAGCTGAATGTATTACTATGCTAAATATGGTTTATTATTATTATGGTTTCCTCTTCTCCATCTCAGTGCTTCTCTAATGCAGCTAAAACCCACTGTTGTTATTTCTGGTGACCTGCATACAGGAGTGATGGAGTAAAATGCTGATTGCTGTCTTGTGATCAGAGAAGTGACATGGTACTTCTGTTGCACAAGCACCCAGCAAGGATAGTGACTACTAGTGAAAGTGAGTGAATAGAAGTAGGTGGATGCTGATTGTCTCCACTAGACCCCTCCTTGAATACATGCAAGGAGAAACAGTGTTTCACAGACGAACCATCTGAAGATTCTAGATGCTCCAATGTCTGTCCTTTCTGAGGAAAAAAAAAACGAAACAAACAAACATCTTACAGGATAAAGAAAGGTTTAGCTAATATTGGAGGGAGGTTCTTTCTACTACCAACTGCCTCTTCTCTGGGGCAGGCAAACAGCCTAATACTGTGAGAGTGAGTACAAGGTGGCTCAATGAGTCATGGCAGTCTAAATCTTGGGATACGTGCCAAGAGCTGTGTTACTTGTCATGACCAGACAGATACCAGTGCGATGGCCAGGCAGGACAGCACAGTACATAGGATCATGCTGTTTCAGGTTAGTCTGCCACAGGCTGACTAACCCTCCAGTTGCTCACCCAATGGGCAGAAAATGGTGAAAACAAAGCCAAAGAAAATTTCAAATGATTCAAGTAAATTTATGGGTACCTATTGAGTTCACCATATAGTCCAAACTTTTGAAAGTTCACTCCTTATGAACTAGTTTGGGCATGGAAAAGTAGCAAAAGACATTCACTAGCCCATATATATATATATATATGAAAGAAAAACAACTCATTTTTAAAACGGACACTATAGAAGGATCTCATTCTACATCCTTCTTTTGCAGAATCCTAACTCAGATTTATTATGAGGAAGAGTATTAAAAATTGAATGCAGAATTGTAACATGCATATTTTAAACTTGGGGGCAGTGGGAGGAATCACATCCAAATCTAGAATATGTTTGTTCTGTTTTATCTCCACATGTAAATAATTGGTCTTATATTTTACAGTGAAGCAGTCATGGTTTCCAGTAATCCAATGCTACTTTCCTTAAAAAAAAAAAAAGGAAAACATATTAGGCTTAACTCACCTCTTTCATATGATTGCAACCCCATTAATCTCAGAGAAGCCACTTTCATACAAAAGAAAGGAGAATCAGTTTTGACTTTTTTGCAGTGCAGAAAGACTAGCTGATTCAGGGGGCTCATCTTTTCCTTAGTATACATGGACATGCAGTGACCATAGCTCAGGTAGGCAGACTTAAAGTAGTCTGAAACCAGCTAATTTGAGCCCTACTGGCAACGTGTATGCTGGCACAGAGGTTAACAAAAGCAAAATTAATTAAGCATTATTCAGCCCCTTGAGTAGGACTTGCAGCTCATTGAATAGCTAGTGTTGTAATAGCATACCAGCTAGCTAATTTAAAGCTACTTAAGTAAGCTGCAGTGACTACAGTGTCAACCTTGGTTCTGAGCTACATTTATGTGATACATTAAAAGAAATGGACTTTAAACTTCAGAGCTGTCAAACCAGCACTTTAACAAGCTCTACACTTTGCAAAGATGTTATATACAAGATAGATAAAACACAGGCTTATTTGTGCCATTGGCCGAATTCTGACATTCTTCTTCATGTCACGTATTCCAAGAAGATACAATTTTAAATAAAATAAATTTCTTGAGCTTTTCAAGTAATCACAGAGAAATGAACAGAACTGGCATTACAGTATAAAATACTTGGAGTTTCCTGCTTGGCAAAAACTTTGATAAAGTATATCAAAGTGAAATGAGGTGGAGTGTCAGCTCTGTTCACAGCTCTCTAAACACATCCCATGAAATAATGTAAGAAGACAAACAGAGATGTATATTGCAGCTTTATGGTCACAAGAACAACAATATCTCATGGAAGTCCCCGAGTTCTCTGCATGGTTGAAATGGGATTTCTTCTTACAATATTTTTCATTAATATATGTTCAAGGAAAAATGCAGTTGCAAAAAAAAAAAAAAAGACATGCTTGAGACTGCAAAATACTTACTGGTGCCTAATTGCTGGAGAAATTATTCAGGAAAAATCCTCTTTAAATAGAAAACAATATTTTTCAGCTACTGAGGGCATTAGAATATGTGATTATTTGGTGAATCAGAAACAACTGAAAAAAAAAAAAGTTAAAATGCCAAGGGATTGCTCTTATGTGCACCTGAGTTTTTATTAACATGTAGTGATATTTGTTTGGTATTTCATGTAGCTCTCTTTTTGCTGATTCTTCTTTTTTCCCCACCATTTTCAGTCTGTCTTTCAGATTCCCACCCATTCATATAAACCTAAAGTGGACAGCACACAATCTTGATTACTAGATAATGATCTTGCTTTACTAAAATAATAAAAAACCCCAACTCAAATCCCCAAAAAGCTTATTTTTCTTTCTTTCTATTTCTTAACTAAATTACTTACAAATCAGACTATATTAATGAGCTGCTCAGCACTTAAGCCTTCACTATAAATGGAAAAACATGAAAACTGAAAAAAACCCCATCAAATTTAAAAAAGGCTAGGCATATAAATAGCTGGAAATATTCCTTGGTAATAGAGAAAGGAAAGCTTAGATAAATCAGAACAATATGTAATACAGTCTCTTAAATGCATTTTTCTGTATTTTTCTGATTTTAAGAGATGACAAATAAACATGCTATCATTATATGTCTTTATGAAGTTGATAATACCTAAGCTATAGTACTAACTACACGCACACCTGAAATTATATTAGAGGCCAACTATGAAAATCACACTACTGAAATTTATTTTTATCTTCTTATTTTTCTGCAAAAATGCTATCATATAATAAATTTATCAGAAAAAACAGTTTGAAGTCCTCTCAGGGTTTCACATTTGTCTGTGCAGATATATGATACAAAGAATTATTCAAAACAAACCTTGTAAGTATGTACTGCAAGTTCTCTTGATTTGTGTTTTACAAATGATCCCAACTGCTAAGATTTGATTTTATAGCACTTATTGGAATGAAAATAACTGTTGTTTCATAGTTTCATATATATGGTATATGAAAACATCCAGAACTAAGTAATTGTAGGAATAAGACTTCCCTCCACCCCTCTCCCCTTAAATTAGAAACTCTTACACACTGAAATGAATCCTCCTAGGGTAAGTAATGTTCAGATGTATTGGAAATATATGACTCCTTTGTAAACATAGTCTAGGCTAATTTACAGATAACTACTTTTCCTATTGCCAAAATACTAAGAATTACAAACATTGCATTGAGACCATTCCTGGTTAAATGTGTGGCACATACTTATCAGGAAACATTTTCTTCTTTCTAATCAGCCTCATACTACTTTTGTTTTGTCCTTGAGGTGAGGAATTGTGATGGAAATTAACGTTAAACAAAGGGGCTTCTAAGTGAACCTATTTCTTAGGGAAGTACCTTAGTCAGAGCTGCAATTCTCTGAGCCAGTTCAGCCTCCACTTCAGGTAAGGTTTCAGCCTTTCTCATCGTCTGCTGCAGTTTCTGCTCAGCCAGCTCTAGACGTTCTTGTAGCTGTCTGTTTTTGTCTTCCAACTGAAGGCCAAAGATAGATAAACAGGTATAAAAATTAAATCAGAACTGAGATTTTCTTTCAATTTCTTGGGTATCAGGGAAGTGATCAAAATTCACTACACAAGCACAGATAGTCCACAACCTAGGAATACTTACTGGAAAGGTATTAACTCAAGCATGGAACCATGTAGGCTGCCAGTCTCATTAATGATGAGTGATTTGAGGCTAAAGGATCACAAGAAGGTGAAGGAAAGGAGTTGTAAAATGGTACAAACGAAGATGAGCAAAAAGCTCCTCTGACTGATGTGTTGTTTGACCAAGCAAAGTAAAAGTATTGGTGCCAGTAAAATGAGAATTTTCTAAATAGAAATATTGAGTCCATCTCACAGAAAAGTTTATGTATGAGCTAAAATGGGACAAAAGGTCAATTCCAAAATGATAGAATTCCCAGCAAAGTTTCTGAACAAATTGCCGAATACAATTTTCTGAACAAATGTCAATCATATATTAGGAAATGTTAAAACTGACATTTCATTCATGATCATATCCTGGTTACTAGTTGCTTAAAGTTGCCATGATATTGTTCATTGTGAAGCTACAATTAAGTCTTATTTCACAGAAGTGAAACTGTTTCCTCTGTGATAACCATTAAGGAGAAACAGGAGGACTTTTGATAACTGCAGTGTTTTCCAGCATACTGAGATGCACCACATGATTAAGAATTTTTTAATGGCTTGATAAATGTTACCTGTGTTCCTGTTCATTCCAGGCAATAGAAGACGTCATGAAAAAGGAATGTGCTTTTAGATTCCTTTTGAATCCTTCAAAAGAATGAAAAGGTAGGCTTTTCACATCACAGTGCTGCAAGCCTACTTTAAGTCTGCTTGTATATATTCTAAGCCCAGTCCTATTGATCACTGCTTTGAGGAGGCAGACCTCTGCAGCACAGCAAGACTTACATTGGCAGCAATAAAAACTCAAAGGACAGATGAAGGTACCTTACTTTTCTATTGCTGTGTTGTTTGGGTTTTTTTGTTTGTTTTGTTTGTTTTTCTTCCCTAACAATTGAAGATACTGCTTAAAATAGTCAAAGGAAGCTGGCAGAAGCTGGAGAGTTTGAGTTCTGATGCTATAATTTCTTTGAAGAGGTAGTCATATACATTCATACATATATACATATATATATACACAGACACACATAGAGAGGGATGGGTGCATGTGTGTGCAAATATATCTGCATACCATCATAGAAGCAGAGATTATCAGATCACACAGGCTTATTTCTATAAGAATTTTATATTGTTTGAGGACACAATAGATGAAAAAAAGAAAGAAGTCTGATACTGAAGCTGAGGAGCAATTTCATTTTTATAGTTTGAATTTTATTCATTTCATGTTAGCTTTCAGTTTACATTGTACTCTTCAAACCTACAACCCATTTTTTTTCTGTTCATTTTACATTTCAGCTTTTGGAATCACCATGGAAACAAAGTACCATGAGAGAAAACTGCACAGTCATGTTATACTCTTTTCTAAAACATATTCACAGACAGTTTAGATTTGTAAAATTTAATTACACACTATTAATACATTAAATTATTAGAATATATTCTATGCAAATTTTTATCTTTCCTGCAGAAGGGCATTTCTTTTGCTTATACTATTTCTTTTCATTTTTTAAAAAAATAAAATTCAGAAAATTGTTTAATAAGAAAATATAATCATTTACTTAGGGGATATGACTGCTCATTTATGGAAGACACTATCACAAAACACGGTTATTTTCCAATGTTGAATGTACACATTGAGTTGGTATTAATGGTTGCAGTAGCTCTTATGAAGCTTAGAGATGCTGAACAACTTTTTAGACTTAAGACAAACTTCAGTTTTTTAGATTAACTAAAATTAAAAATGAACAGATTGACCTAATGGAAACCTCCTACTGTAGATCTGCCTACTTCTTTGTATTAATTTTCATGGTGTATGAAAAATCAACTGACTAAAGCAGATACTGCACCTGACGTAGGATGGCTTCCTTGTTCGCCAGTTCATTTTCCAGCTTATCATTCATGTCATGTATGGAGGTGGATTCTCTCTGTGCACTGAGGTAGCGCTTCTCCAGTGTAGTTATTCTTTCTTCCATATCTTCCTTTTGTGCCATTGCCTAACATGACAAAAAACTATCAAAAAACCATGCTACGTAATTTTATACTAGTTTAATTTTCATGTTAACAATAGACAGAGATGTAAGGTATGCTCAGCAGTAATTTTTCTGTTTTAAAGAGAATTTATTTCCTTTGTGATTTCTTGTAAATATATTTAAAGCAGAAGTTGTTGAGTAGAGCTAACAGAAATAATCCTCACCTTTTAAATATTTTTCCAGTTTCTATATTTTTCAGTGCAAAAAAACATAGCAAATACAGCTCACATTTACTTTTTAGTTTCTTAAACAAGAGCAGGCATGATCAGAAAATAGAAAACCTGGTATAGTTACATGAAAGTAGAAACATAGAGCAGTGCTGTGGGGAAAAAATGTATACACACATTTCTATTCTTATTCCTGGGTCCTGCTAAAATTTTATGCCAAAGTACATGTAGTAGACAGCAGGTGACAGGTCCTGAAATTTCAGGAAAACACATGACCACAATGTTGGATACATATCATAACCATAACATATGGGAATGTTATCCATCTATGTTATGGATAAGGATTTCTTTAAAACCTTGAGCTGTTTTTATTCATGTATTACAAGCTGGCCTCACTGAAGTCAATAGCTATGATTTAGATTATTAATTAGTCTGTCTACTACATTGTTTATTTATATTAAATTAATTTTAGTGAAAGTAGAAAATTTTATTAGTTTTAAACTTGTGTCTGGCTCTTGAGAAGACTTACACGTTGCCACATAATCTTTCACAATGAAAATATTTACTGATGAGCACGTCTTGCTGCTTGTGTTTTATTACATTATGAAAGCAGCGTTGAAGTAAGTGAGATTATTTTTCAGGTAAGACATAATTAACATATAAATTGATCCAAACACCTAGTCTTAAAATGGACCATATCCAGGTGATCCTTTTGCATATCGCTGGAGAAAAACCATAAAAATAGTAATTGCGTATGTAATTCACTAAAAACACACCAAACCCAATTCCAGTATTTTTTAACCAAGTTACACAATACCAAACAACACTTCTTGTTGCAGAAATTTAATTTTCTTCATTGGGAAGACTATCTTTTGTGGCAGTATGAAATAATGAAGACGAGTACTTCCACCTTTACTAATACCTTTCACAGCATGACCAGCTCCTCTATTTAACAGAGTTCATCTTAAAAACCTGTTTAAGTTATTTCAAGCTGAAAACTTGCCAGAATGCACTCTAGTAATGCTAAAGCACAAAAGAGTTCCTCCTATCCGAGTTGCACATATACACACCCACTTTTATGAATATGGTTTTATAAAGAGATTTCTGGTACTATTTCTTAATGTAAATTTTGTGTTTCCTATGTATAGAGGCTTTTATCCATGCTGAACTTTTGCCTTCTGTATTCATTGGCCTCTATCAATTTGTATTGGGTATCACAGCTACAGCAGTCAAGAAATAGGACGTGAGTGTGGTGAACTCCTTACCTCTCTTATGTCCCTCTGATATTTACTGTTCATTTCTTCTGTTTTAATGAGCTCCTTTCTGGCAGTCTCTGCTTCCTGTTCTACCTCTCCCACCCGGGAAGACAGTGCAGCCAAACGCTCCTTCATTTGTGCCATTTCATAGTTTTGCTTTTCCAGTAGTTCCTGAAGTTCAACAACTTGACTGGCTTCATCATTTGAGTCTATGGAGCCATTTGATAGGCGCTGTTAATGGAGAAGTGACATTATTTATTAGTTATCTTTAATGTGGACACTATCTAAAGAATTTCTAAAGCAAAAATTATTTTAAAAATTACAAAATCAACTAGAAAAATAAAAATTATGGTAGATGAAGCAGCTGTAGTTATTAAAAATTGCAATATATTAGTATTGATTCATTTTAAGGGATTCCAGAATCTAACATCACACAGAGAAGTGAACATTTACATTAAGACTATTATAGAAAAATAGCTTTAGTTTGACATTGTGGTTATTCAAGTACAAATTGCAACAATACTGCTCCTAGAGAGCACCAAATTACATGCATACATCTTACCTAAACTCACACAGCACTTAAACTGAATCAAAGTCTCTTTCATTTGCAAAATAGGCCATGCTGCAGACAGGAAGCAACGCTAATAAATCACAAGTTCACTGTACCAGAAAGTGTTTAGAGTCTGGACAACATACTGGTTAGGTCTACATGAGAAACAAGTTCTGCTGAAGTAATTTGCATGCTCCTGAAAGCCCTGGTATGAATACAGTTATAAAGAAAACAAACCAAGAGTCCCAAACTCACATTGCATTTGGAATATGATCTCAGGAATGAGATTTATATTGCAATAAATGTTTTCAGGAAAAAAGTGGGTTCACTAGCAGGACTTGCTGGCATTGCCTCATTATAACAGGTTAGGTCACACTAACCTTTTCCAGCATAGGCTAAGCCATGGTTACATACAAATTTAATTATCTCATGTCAAAGAAAAGAACAAGTAAAAATCAAAATTATCTGATTTTGAACTATAACATGAAAAAATAAAACCAAAGTAGCCCAACCTGTCACTAACTTTCTTGATTAGGTGCGACTTTATCTGTTAAATTTATATTATGCTGTATGGGAACACAGTATTTTACTGTAACTGACATTTTAAATTAGTTAAGGATCTCAGAGACCATCATGCAGGAATATTGGTCCTAAAAGGTGCTTGTTGTCCTTCAGATGGCAGGGTATATAGCAATGCATTTATTAAGTATTCTCAGGAAGATGTGAGAGGAAACCAAACTTGCTTTCATTAGCACTTCTGTATTATTATTGTCAAAATATATTCATACCAAAATAATCTATCAAATTTAAAGAACATTGCTTAATGGCTTTAATAATACTCTTCCCCCAATCAGCCATAAAATGAACTCAGATCAAGACCACCTGCCACTCTGTGAATCATTGAATAAAATTATTTTACTCTAAAAATCACCACATCAAATAACTCAGTTCCAAAATTGCTTTCTCTATACTAGTTAATCA